ATGTATGTCGTTTTTGTCCTTGTTTATAGTCTAGTACGTATCACCGTATGATTTCAGAGCAGGAAGCACGATTCAGAACTACTTCGCCGAACCCCGTTCCGAAGCACTTATCCAGGCATCGGATGTTCAGGGAGCGGATAGGCAGCCCCCCCACTCAGTTGGCACCCCACGAAAGCACTTTCAACTCGCAGAGATTGTTCTGTTTTCCGCGTTTGGAAAGTGGGTTAAGATTCCATGGCAAAGCCAAACGTGCGTTGCAAGATTTCTCTTCAAAATGGCTGTCGGTTCAAAGAAGCGAAACACGACTGCACAGCGGAAGCTGCAATCCTACCGAGCAGACACGCCCTAGTCCAAGACGGCTGCAACAAAACAAAGGCCGTGCAAGCTTTGCAAAAGAGTGCATGAGTTATAACTGAAACAACAGCTTTACAGCGAGAAGCCGCCAGGTCGAAGTTCGTGCAGAGAGGTGCATGTGCAATTTCATCAAGAGAACTGATTCCTCAATGGAGTGAGAGGCATCGCTACCATAATTGACAGAAATGTTTTGTTCTTTGGCGTAGAGCACATGCACGCGGCATTCATGTCCTGAGGGACGCGTAAGACCTCCCGACTGGCAAACACCATGGCAAGTGCGAGGTCAACCCCAACCCTGACCCGTAACTACCCCCCCCCCCCCCGTTTATGTTCAACAGGAAAGGCGTACCATTTAACTCGGAAGATGGAAAGATGCAGCGGTGTTTGCTACACAAGCTCGCTATCAGAATCGATGTATCCTGGAATTGGCAGGATGCTGGTTGCTATGTCATGCCAAGCCGAAAGAAGGACAGGTGATTGAACGCATACCTTTGCGTTTGCCCACCTGCTATTTGGGTCTTTCATTGATCCATGCGGGTCTTTGAAAGCTCGACGGTAAACGACACTTATACGAGTCATGGACGTTCATGCCAGTAGCATGTCAGGTTTAACGGGCTTGTGCAGGAAACGAGCATCCGAACGAACAAGTGTTCCGATGTTGATT